GGGTGAGATTCTATGGCCTGCGTTGTGCAGGAGGTCAAACTAGATGATCATAATGGTCCCTTCTGACCTTAAAGTCTATGAGTCTATCTCCTTCTAGAGGGGCATGGTTGGAACTCCATGCTCAGTCAGTCCAGAGTTCATTTGACTGCAGCATTGGACCTCAGCAGGACTCCGGGGCACTATGGGCATTCACTCACTGTTCTAACTCTACCCTCAGTATCAGGGCCGGCTTTAGAGCGATTCACCCGATTCCCCCAAATCGGACCCTGCGCCCCTAAGAGGGTCCCACAACGTCCCTAAGGACCTTCCACCACCGTGCCGCCGAAGGCACCAGCAGCCAATAGAGCTGTCGCTGAAGTCCCGCCGCTGTCTTCGACGGCAGCTCAATCGCTGCCGCGGAAGAAGGACTCTCCGCCGATGTGCCACCGAAGGCACCGGCAGCCAATTGAGCTGCCGCCGAAGTCCTGCTGCTGTCTTCGGGGGCAGCTCTTTCGAACCGGCCCTGTTCGGTACCCCATCCCTCTAGCCCCTTTCAGACTCCCTTCGATGGCAGGAGAACTGTTTCCATGTTTGCTCATCTTCTCTCCACGTTGCTCCAGCCAGGGCCCAGCTCAGCCCTAGCATTCATCCCCAGGTTTCTAGGAAAGGGATAAATGAGACTAGGAGGTCTGGGCTGAGTTATCCCCAAATACTCTGCTCTGGCGGCTGAAGAGGGAGATTGAATCGTGCTAAAAGCTTTATAACCTACATAGGGATGAAATGTCCTATGCTGATCCGTGGGCAGGGTCTGAGGAACAGATGGGGCTTCCTGGACATCTCTCAAGAGATTCCCCATTGACCTGGGGTCAGGGATTGAGGGATGGGGCTCCCTGCACCCCTCACAGGAGACTCCCAGTGACAAACTGGAAATTTCCTGTAATATTTTTTTGAATCCTGGTTGTACCTCAGTTTCCCCATATGCTGCACTGTTACCCTGTGGGTGCAAAAGAACTGTTTGCTCTCAGGGCATGGTAAGAGGCATAGTTATGAATGCCACCTGGTTGTCTGAGTCAGGATGGGTCATTAAAAAGGACTGGCTGAGGGCGACCCCATTTCAATGGAGAATCTGAGAAGTCAATGGAAAACTCAGTCACCAGGACATTTTAAGGAAGGGCCACTGAGATCTGTGTCCCTTGTGGGGATGCATAGTGTGGGAGCTGATCCAGCCAGGCAGGGAGAGGCACGAGCCGCAGCAGCTGCCTGTACTTTGCTGACATTTGCAGTTAGCAGTTAATGTCCTTGAGCTGGAGAAATCGCCCATGAGAAGGGGCCAGTTTCTCTTTAAGGGGGCAGGACTCCGGAAGCATCATGAAGAGAAAGAGTAGCTTTCCCTCTCCCTCCCCAAGCTGCTCCTGGACTGGGGAAAAGTCAGACTCTCCTTTTGCCAGAGACTGAGGGAAGTGCAGCTGGGGGATGAAGCAGAGGGCTCCGGGCTGGACTGGGAGGCTGATCAGGAGTGTGGAGAGAGGGAGGAGGAGAGCGTGGGGGAGGAGGGGGAGGATCTGCTAATTACACAAAACAGCTCTGGGGGCTGCTGAAGTCCAGAATGAAGCAAAGAGCGGCAGAAGCGAGTGCTGCAGTGGGAGCAGAGGAGGCACCGGCAGGAATTCCCACCCGGGGAGAATTCTGCAGCTCTAATCCTTCTGGGGACTGATTCTCCGGCACAGCCAGGAGGGGACTATCTGGGCTTGACAGAAAGTCCTTCACCTGGGGAGGGAGAGCGCTGAGTAGCCAGTTAGAAGAGGCAGAATCATGGAAGAGCAGCACTAAATTTGCCCCCTTTTTCTGCTGACTTGGAGCAAAGGGAGTTTGGAGCCAAGGATAGTCTCTGGGATGGATGCTGGCATTTAGACATCTGATCTGACTCATTTTCCCTCCAGGAAGGGCAAGCAATGGCTGCCAAAGGGGTGGAATCCACACCCATACCCCCCGTAGCCCAGTCCAGGATGGAGAACTTCAGGAAGGTCAAGACGTCGGAGCAGGATAGCCCACTGCCCTTCTCTGACCTGCCCCCTGGTGTGGTGGAGATGAAAGTGAAGGAGGGTAGCAAGATCAGGAATTTGATGGGCTTTGCTATGGCCAGGATGGAGCTGAAGGGCACCCGGCAGATAGTCTTCAGTGGCTGTGGTCGGGCAGTCACCAAGACCATCACCTGTGTGGAGATCATGAAGAGGAAGCTGGGGGGCCTCCACCAGGTCACCAAGGTGCGTTACAAGACCCTGCTGGAGGTCTGGGAGAACAAGGACCCTCAGCCTAATGGCCAAGTGGAGAACCTGACCGTCCACAAGAATGTGCCCTCCATCTGTATCCTATTATCCAAGGACCCCCTGGATCCCAATGAGATGGGCTACCAACCCCCGGAGCCCAGGGATGGGCTGTGGGCTGAAGATGGGGGAATAGAGGACGATAGATTCATTTCACCCCCACAAGGGGTGAAGAGACCTTTGGCACTTCCGCATGGGGAGCTGGCTAACAAGAAAATGCAGGTACAGGTACCAGAGAGTCAAAAGGGCTTGGGGACTATGGACTACATGCTGGACTATCATCACTGACTCACCCCCACCCCGCAGAGAAATAACCTAAGCCATACGTAGTGTACATAGAAAGGAGATTATATATTGAAGACACTCTAGATTTTTAGATGCTTTGTAATCAATAAAGGGACAATGAAGCCAGTGCCTTGCTTGGTCATGAGTCCTGGTGATCTCGCGTGTTGCGTAGCTTTCCCCACTAAGACTCTGATTCGTAGACACTGCTGCTCCCCTCCACTTCCCCATCCCCTCAACCTTTACTGCTCTTAGGGCTGAGGGCAGTGATCAGCCCTGTTCTCAAGCTGCAGGGAGCTGGCTAATTAGAAAAAACGTGATTAGAGAGATCAGTCCAGTGGAAGGGGCAGTAACGCACCAGGAGCAGCTCATTTGCGTGTGGAAAAATGGGGGTGGTTGTCACATAACTGGGTGGGCACGAGGCTTTGCATACGGTTATGGGTGCCAGGTAAAGAACATCTTCCCTGCCCAGAGAAACTTGCAAACTGAAAGGCACGAGAAGGCAGGGTCTGACAGAGTATGCTGCAGGGTGTGGCAGTGTGTGGCCACTGAGGCTAGAAAGGGTTAAAGCCCAATGATCATATTAGCTGATGCTGAGGTGAGAGAAGGGTCCTGCTGGGGCTGCTGACCTCAGGCTGTGTGTGTGTATCCATCTGTACAACCATTTCCTGATCCCTCTCCAGAGAAATGGACATGTAATAATTTTAATCTAATATCCCTACAGGCCATATAGGTGCAATTTGATCTGGGGGAGCTCTGAGGCTCTAACTGACTGTCAGTAGCACAGCGTGCAATCTCCCTCAAAGGCTTCTCCGTTTCAATAACTGCTCATTCGAATTGGGTATGGAATGCTCAAGATCCAGGAAAATCCACAGTGCCAAAACTTTTTCTTCCCTCACCTAGGCTGGGATCTCCTGAAGAAGTGGGTTGTAGCCCACGAAAGCTTATGCTCAAATAAATGTGTTAGTCTCTAAGGTGCCACAAGTACTCCTGTTCTTTTTGCGGATACAGACTAACACATCTGCTACTCTGAAACCTGTGCTTTTGTGTGTGCAGGAATTTTGAGAGGTTTTAAAACCGTTCCTCAATCTCTTCCCCTCCCCCTCCCCGGCCCAGCTCTTCCATGCTAAATAATACCCTCTTGCTGGAAAGGCTGCAATCAACCCAGCCCTGAGAGTTCCTGCCTCTGCTAAAGTGTTCTGCTTCTTTCTCCTCCCATGTGTGTATAAAGTGAGCAATTCTCTCTTCCCGTGACACTGAGATGGTGTTTATCAGACACTGTTCATAACACAAGGCCCACTCTGTTCCTTCAGTGGATGTTTATATTCCTGTCGGGAGTACAGAGGATGGAGGTAGGGAAGCATTAGTTGATTCTGAGTGTGATTGCTTATAAGTGTCCGGCTGCTGTGGAACGCAGCAGTTTCTTCTTTAGCTACAAGGTGTGTCTCAATCCATAGACAGGAACTCCAGGCTTGGGGAGCTCATGTGTCTCAGATGATTGAGAATGTGTGTGTCACAGACCCATTGCTCTTGTCAGTGGGACAAAGGAAACCCTCAGGAAAGGAAATCGGTGTAACTGGTCTGTTTCTAACCACAAGTGGAATGACTTGTTTGAGTCTCAGTGGCCTGACTAATTGGTGACAAAGCTCACAACTGAGATGTGCAGGTTGTCCCAGGTGGTGGCCCAGACAGGAAACTGAAATTGCGGGGACTTAATATGAAGACCAGACTCTTCTCTCACCCGAGCTGAGGGGGTGTTTCTCCATTATAGGCTTTGGGTCCATTTCTGGAGCACTGTGGCTAAAGACCTGTAATGAATAAACATGTAACTCAGGTCTTCCCTGTCCCTGGGAAGTGAACAGTAATTGAGGGCATTCGGTACCTTGCAAGATTGGTCCCTAACATCAGCAGATGTGGTCCTTCCATATCCGGGGTGGAGTCCATTGGTAGAGCATTGTGGACACCTAACATTGGGCAGCTCTAGAGACTAAACGGCTCCCAAGCTGGGAAGGTGAGGAGCAGTGTGAGGAAGCACAGGAAAACATGGATGTGGAGACAATTCCTGCCCTGGGAGGGAATGTTCTTCAGAGTCCAGTGTTGGGAGCTTTGTAGGTGGGACTATATGGAGGTTCTGCACCTATCGCTACAGGAAAGAATCAAACCATCCGCAGTGGGTGTTGTAGGGAATACAAAAGCTGCTAGTCACGACTCCTCCATGCACAGTGTCTGGGGGTTGTCAGATCCACCATGAGACATCAGGAAAGATGGTTTGCTTGAAGCTTGTTGGAGTAACACCTTTATTATCGGAGCTGCTTCAATTACAGACGGAGAGGAGCTGTCAGGGTTATTAATGGAGGGCTCAGCAACTCATGGCTCTGTGATTCATTTTGAATAAAACACACAAACAAGCAGATGGGTTGTTTTCTCCTCTCACCATTTATTGAGTACCAAGCTCTCCATTTTCCATAAGCTGTGAGCCACAGGGCAATGATGCATCTGAAACCACTGTGTCTTCTTCCTCTCTAGTGTGTATTTTTCAGTAATTGTTTTATTTTGTGCTGTATGGTTTTGGACTCCGCTCTGAAGTAGCTGAAGCTGGGCTATCCTCTGCATTCCTTTCTTGGGATCCTCACACAAAAGCTAGTATACAAGGGCTACGTATTATCATGATTTTTACGTTGTGAAGATCTTTCAGCTGTTCAAGGAAGGTACTGATTCCACCTTGAGCAAGAAGGAAAGGAAGATGGCTTAAGTAATACAGGGCTGATCTGAAGTCTATGGTTCAAACCCTCCCACTGATCCAATGTGGGCGAATGCTATGGTTGTATGTGATGGAATTGTGGTTGAGCCAAGCAGTGTGATGTAATGGCTGGGGCCCTAGGCTAAGGCTCTGGAGACCTGGCTGCTGTTCCTGGCTCTGCCACTGACCTATGTGACCTTGGGCAAGTCACTTCTCCTGTCTGTGCCTCATTTTCCCCTCCCACCCTTTGTCTGTCTCTTGCTATGTGTTTCTATGGCACCTACTGCAATGGAGTCTCGGTCAGGGCCTCTCGTACAGTAATACCAAGGATTATAAAGGGTCTGATTCTGCTCTCAGTGTTTTTTTACACTTTTCCAGAGGAACTATTTACACCAGTGTGAGAAGAGAACCGAGAGTCTATGAGAGTGTCTCATCAAAATCTTGGTCCAAGTTCTCTGCTGTTGTTAATTGTTGCAGCTCCCCTAACTTCAATGGAGTTTTACCCATTTATACCAGCAGAGAACTTTGCCCTTTGTTCTTATTCATACTAACTACCCTGGAGCTGATTCTGCTCTCACACTGACTTTACACCTGTGTATTCTATTGGCTGCCGTGGGCTCACTCCTGATTTACACTGTTATAAATGAGAGCAGCACTGGGCCCATTATTGTCATAAACAAAAATAATTCCTGACAGCAGTATGGCTCAGCCTCCAAACTGGGGGGAAATGATCCTACAGCCTGGAAAACTGAGGAGAGCTCTCTGGTTCTGTCTTAGACAGGTGAGCGAGCACATCTAACCCATCTATCTGTCCAACGATCATCACTGTGACATCTGAGCTTGTTAGAGAGTTAGTAAACCCACTGGGTGATCCAGTCCTGTCCCTTTCACGTCTTAAATTTAACCTGTAAAAGAAACAAAGATTGGGCTTCTGTTTTTTTGATTAGACGTTCTGAAAGATTTTTCACAAAAAAAATACAAAAAAAAAATCCGTTTTTACTTTATAAAATCAGGTCTTATCTACCTTGGAAGTTTCTGAAGAATTAGTGAAAGTATGACATCACAGGAGACTGAGCAATTAGGATGGGGAAAGATTTTTCGTCAGACTGTTCTGTTTTATTAATCTAATTTCAATGCCCAAGGAACACTTTGGAGAAAGTACATCTTTGTTAACACCTTCAGCTAAGCCAGTGGCTCTCAGCCTTTCCAGATTACTGGAGTCTGATTTGTCTTGCGTACCCCCAAGTTTCACATCACTTAAAAACTACTTGCTTACAAAATCATACATAAAAACAGAAAAGTATCATAGCACATTATCACTGAAAAATTGCTTACTTTCTAACTTTTACCATATAATTATAAAATAAATCAACTGGAATATAAATGTACTTACATTTCAGTGTATAATATGTAGAGCAGTATAAACAAGTCATTGTCTGTATGACATTTTAGTTTGTACTGACTTAACTAGTACTTTTTCTGTAGCCTGTTGTAAAACTAGGCAAATATCTAGATGAGTTGATGTACTTCCTGGAAGACCCTGCTTAGCCCGAGTGGTACACGTAATTAACGTAACCACTAAGCTAAGCTGCTGAGTGCTTGTAAGCACATGTGAATCTCCCAAGAAGTCCTCCCACAAAACTAAGGAAGAGGGGGCTTGACGTTCCTGATATTTCTGAGATGAAAAAAAAGGAAATTAAAAAAAAACTATTTTTTTTCTGGTCATCTTTATCCATCATACTACTATGACCGTCTTAAAGTACGGATGGGGGGGGGGCTTGAAAATAGAGGAGAGTCTTTCCTGTTGAGGGGGCTTGATCTCTCAATTTGGGTTGAAAGAGGTTTTTCATGGAGGGAGAGTGACCTCAGGTGTTTCTGTCTAGGAAGCTCATCCCTTAAAGGCACAGCCCCCAATACCAAAGCTTTCTCTCCCCTCACTGGTCCTGCTGTCTCTGGGGTATGGGGTGAGATGGCCACCACCAGCCACACAACACAATCTCTGCGCCAGCAGCACCAAACCCTCTATGGTGCTTCCCACATGTCTCAGTCCAAATCTGCACTAGAGACGATTTGCCCATATAGCTATTTTGCAGAACCACCTAGTGTAGATGCAACGTATACTGGCAAAAAATGCTTTTGCCAGCATAGCTTATCCTGGTTTGGCAAGTGAAATAAGCTATAGCAGCAAAAGCACTTTTTAGCCGGTATAACTGCATCTATACTAGCGCTTTTGCAAGTATTGAAATGTCATTAAAAAAAGCCCACCCCTAACTGATGCGATTATACCAGCAAAAGGTTCCAGTGTAGACCTGGCCTTGCTTGGCTCTGTGCTCTGTATGCACTTGTGGGTATGTGGTGTGGCACATTTCCATGTGTTGTCTGGCTGTGTTGTGAATTCCATTGGTGCAAGTTACACCAAAAGTTACAAGTGGCTAGTTCACTTTTGGTATGGAAAAGTGTGTGTGGCTTTCCCAACAGGAGGTGTAGCCAGGGCTACATCCCGAACTCGACATGTTCCCTGTATTTGCCTAGAATGGATATAAATTTCTCCTTTTGCTCCTCTTTGTGTCTAATACTGCCGCTAATGAGAGGTTATTGCTCCTTGGGGGACAATGTATTTGCTGAATAGGCTGATGCCAAATTGAAAATAGTCCATTCTAGAGATATGCATGTCATATTGATAATATATATATTGACTTATTTCTAATCCAGATCAAGACCCTGTTGTGCTAGACATTGTTCAACACATAGGAAGAAACAGCCTCTGCCCCATGAAGCTTAACATCTGTTGGCAATATGGTCCTGCTTGAACCCCTCCGCATTAGGCCGTAAGCTCTTTGGTGTTCAGGTTAACGTTATTGAATGGAGGAGCTCTGGTTTCCAGCTGACTGACTTTGAACGGGCTGGGTGCTCATGATGGAGATAAGCCTTGTTAGCTTAACTCTGCGGCAGACGCTACTGATTGTACAAAACAATTCACTGTTTTCCAACTTCAGCATCTGCGAGACCGCTGTTCTGGAGCTAATAGGTATGTGTGATTATGGCCGGATTGAGATGGGAAGCGCTATTAGATAAAGCATGCAGCACTCTCTCTACACGTAGGGCTTGATTTTCAGAGGGGACAAATATCCTCAGCACCCAGGGACTTCCATTTGAGATGTGGCTGCTCAGCACGTCCAAATATCAGTCCCTTACTGTACAGTGACAGCACTCGCTCTTCTTATCCCCTTCAGACTGGCCTTTGTCACAAGTTATCCTCTCTGCCAGGATTCAGCACCACAGTCCCACTCTCATATTGCCTGTGTGAATGCTCCTGCTGGCTCCCAGGCCCGCTCCCTTGACACAGCAAGAGGGAGCTCCCGTTTGAGATGATTGCTATGTTATAGGCAAACAGCTGCATGCTGAGTCTCCAGGAGCCATAAATGAGGCTGCTTTTACTGCATTTGAATAAACGTCGCCTTTTCCTTCTATGAAACATCTGCCTTGCCCTATTTGAAATTCTTAATGGGAGGACAGGATGCAATTTACTTTTTTCTAGCTTTGCTCCTCTTTTGCCCTGCTCACATTTTTATTGTAAAGGGAAAATCTGGTCTCGTGTATTTTAAATGTTGAGTGTTTCCCTTTGCTTGGGGTTCACGATTTTTCATTCCTGTCTGTGTGTTCGTTTTGTGAGTTTGTCATGTGGGGTGTGTATGTGGAGTGTTCTGTGTTTGCTTAAGGCGTCTGTGTGTAACATGAGGTATCTCTTACCGGCAGGCAGCCAAAACTTAGGGCATTTCTAAGCAAACACATGGCGGCCTCTGCTCCAGTACCTGACTGTTGTCTCTGCCAGGTAATAATGAATGTGAATAATCCCTAACAGGCGACACCTCTCTGCAAGATGCATAGCACAGGGGCATCAGGACATATGCTCAGACCTGTTCAGGGGCAGCTATTTCTTTTGTAACTTTCAGGGCCAGATCCTCAGCTGCTGTAAATAAGCATAGCTCCACTGACTTCAGCAGAGCAGCGCCAATTTACATCAGCTGAGGATCTGGCCCTCAGTGGGTTGATCAGTGCGAAGTAAATACCATCTCAGCATCCCACTGAATAAGGCAGGACGCTCTTGTGGTTAAGGCCCTGGACTCAGGAGACGTGGTTCAGTTCCTGACTCAGCCACAAATTTCCTGGGTGACTTCAGGCAAGTCACTGATCCTCCCTCCCTTCCTCCCTCCCTCATAGGTCATTGGCTAACTCTAAAGAAGATAGCACTACTGCAACTTTAAATTAGATTGTGATCAGAGAGCAATGTAACTCTTTCCATCCTTCCCTCTTCCAAGCCTGGGTCCCAATCACATTATACTTTGAGAGGGATCCAGACTCTACCAATGAGGACCATATGGATAATTATTCCATTTAACAAATGGGAAACTGAGGCACAAAGCTATTAAGTGAGGTGGCCAAGGCTATACATTGAGTTAGTGACAGAGGCAGGATTAGAACGCAGGAGCTCCTAATGCCAGGCTTGTATGGATGCTGCCTGTTTGGAGAGCTGCTGGACGTGTTGTTACGCAGTCCAAGAAGCTTCTCACTAACATCAGAACAAATCAAACTGTCACTTGTTCTGTATTACTGAGCTGCTCAGCCTCTCGTTCTTCACTGGGGTTCAGAGCAAAGGAGATGGTATCAAATTCAGATGTCTCCTGCAAGCTGCTCTTACATCTTGCCAAGTGTCCAGGTGGAACCTAACTCTGCGGCATCAGACCAGAAATACTGAGGTACAGCAGTGCCAGGCTGGTGCCAAAGTGCAATAGGGCATGAACATTTATTTGGCAGGCAAGGTTAAAGAGAGGATGCAATAGGACTCAATTCATTGTTGGGCAGTCCAGGGTCAGAGATGGTGCAGAGCAGGTAGGTGTATGAGTTCAGTAGGACACAATTCCTCTCTGGGTATGGCAGGATCACTCAGAGGGAGAGGTGCAGGCGATACAGAAATGAATCA